TCACCCTTCTGTAGTTTTTTTTTTGAACTGTTCATCAATTCTCTTTTCCAGAATTTGGGTGAGGCCCTGCCCACATTTCTCAGAACTCCGCTTACTTCACTTCCTACATTTTACCCTTTTCCCTCCCAAGCTGGGCTCTGCAGGTCTGTCCTAGCTTTTTGCTTTTGTTTCTCAGCTTTGGTTTTCCCTGCCTGACTGCTTTGAGCTGATCCAACGTCACAGAAGTTCTAGTGGCTACGTGAGTGATTCTGCTGGCTCCTGTCAAGCTACAGAAGCCTAATTGGGTGAAAAATCTTTGCAAAATGTCGTTTGAAGGTCAGGTTTATACATATTCAATAATTCAAGCGAATTGGACTTCTTTATAATGAGACTTTATACATTTAGTTATTTCAATCGCAAGGGCGAATACGATGCTGTTTACACCCACTTTGAACAGAGACCTCTCTAGTATCACCAGGTCCCTTAAGAGCAAATCTAGTAAATTCAAAAGATAGGATGATTTATCTCCTGAACTAGTCTATGAGTCCTGGGAGGGTGGGAGAGATTTTTGACACTATTTTGTATCCAATTAGCGCAGTGCCTCGGGCAAGCCGGGCTCTCAATAAGTACTGGTTGGATTTTGTTACTGATACTCTGGAAATTGTTAGGGGGAAAAGTCACAATGACAAATTGAAATGTAGCACCCTTCTACCTCTTCTGGCAGAAAAGGAAACTGAACCATTCCTTTCCAAAATAAAGAAGTAAGCCACCATGTTTTTATTTTCCTGTGCTCCCTGCAGAGTGTTCTGTTACTGAGAAAATACCCCCAAGCAGAAGATACTTACACGTCGCCACGCATGGCACTTGGGGTAGCTCCACTGTGAAGGTACCCGGGTTTTCGGGCATGGATTTGAGCTAGAAAAGCCTTTTCAGAGGTTGGTGATGGGACCAGATCTTCAAAATGAGTCCGTGCAAGTTCAGAATCCACGTTACTCTCAGTTTCACTCCCCGCCTCTATTAGGTACAATTGAAGAAGTGAAGAATGACCCAGATTTTGTTATGATCGATCGGCAAATAAAGGGCTATAGGCTTAACACTAACCAACCTATGCTGATTAAAACGCTGACCAGGTATTGTACGTAAGTCAAGTATGTGTTCATTTTTTCTCAAAATGAGAATTGATACGGACGTGAATTACCAGAAAATCAGTTAGTATACAGTATTGTCTTTTTATCTCAATAATATTATAAGGAATCTTTGTCTTAATAACTGACTTAATTCTTGAAGCCATCTGTTTTTTTCCTCTATAAAAGTCTTTATTAAAACTGTTGTTACTTTTGCTTAATATTACTTTAATTTAGGAAACACCGACCTAAAACATTACATTCACTTGATATTTCAAAAAATTGTAAGAGTATAAAGTAATAGTCCTTGAAACGCCTACAATGAGAATAACATTTTTAGTCATCATTTGCTAGGGCAGTGAGTACGTGCCATTAATCATGATGTATCAACTACTGTCATTTTTATCCTATTTGGTAATCTTAACCTAAGATAATAGCAACACTTTTCATTACTTTATTCTAATTATAGAGGTTTTAAGAAATTTAAATCCAGATTTTTTTTTAACATTAAAGTTTTCTTTCTTATAGTTGTTGTAATCTCAACTATATGACCACAGTCCTTTCAAACAGATATCTTGCTAGGAGGGCTTTAAGGAATAGACGAGACGTATTAGTAACTGATAAGATATTTATTTGCATATTCACGCTGTTAAAAAGTTTTTAAAACTCTGTGTAGTAGTATTAGGATGAAGAGTGCTGCAATTTTATGCTATTTATTTTCTTCGCAGATCTTTCTTTACTGATATTGCAAAGGTAAATTTCAGTTTCGCCTCTTTCAAATAGCCATGCATTCCAAATGAACAAGTCTAAATTAGTAAATAAGACATGTGACCCTATAAAATAACTTTAGCATCATGTCACTTTGGGTCATGATATATTTAACAGTGGCTAACTTGGGATTCTGTATTTACAAGTCAATTTGAATATTTATTCTTTTTCTGCATTTTTCAAACTTTGTGCATTGAGCATGTATTCATGATCTTCTCATTAGCAAAGTATAAACGGTACTAAAAAATTCTAATATCCCAACAAAATATCACACAGACCTTTAAAAAATCTTTTTATACTTGACAATAAGCAGCTCTCTAACAGAAGTTATGGGTCCTTCTGCAATGAGAAGACAAATGAGACGGGACCAGGGACTCACCGGAATTCAACTCTTTCACGAGAGAGGACATGGTGTTAGTGATCGAATCCGCTGCTACTAGTAAGTCATTCCGTAAATTTCTTCTTGAACCTTAAGAAAGAATGATAATGAAAAAAAATCAAAGCTCTCCTTTTCCCCAAGTTTTTATGCTGTTTATCATTTCCATTGATATCCTAAAGCAAGAAAACGTCCAAGACTTCTCCTTTTCAGAAGCGCTTTGGTTCATTTCCCGAAAAAAATACATTGTGCTCAGGCCAGTGGCCTTTGATATAAGAAGACGTGGCAACTGATGGGGATTCATATACTTTATTGTCCAAATTGGGACAATTTTACAAGTGAAAGGGAAGGTATTAATAACAAGACTGGGTGACCTGGCACAAACTGGGATGATCCCAGGTAAGCCAGCACGTGTGGCCATCCTTCTTCAGAATCACCTCACAGATGAAAAGTCTGGTTTTGCCACGAGAGCTGTGCCTTCCCAGCAGCTGCTACTGTCTCAGCCCTTACCTGGCGGCTGAGCACATCAGATTCTGATCTCCATCACCACAGCCTCTGTCTCCCACCAGGGCTCCCCGAGCTCCCCCTATCATTTCAGGTACCCCTTGGGAATGGGAACCCTGTGCACTGTATGTCCCCAGAGTTTGGAAAAGGGGTGAGGGTTCTTGCTCCTGCTGCCAAGACGTGGGCAGAAGATGTATGCCTGGTACCCTGAACTGGAACTTAGACCATGTTTCTCTATGGTAGAGGAAGATTATTATGAGGTTTCCATCCCACTAAGGGTTAAAAGGGTATTTGTGGGCTGGACTGGGAGTGGGGCAAGGTGGATGTAGAACAGAGGGCCAAATTCATAATATCTTTGGAAAAAAGACTCAAGATTCCAAATACCTGACTTACAGATGAATTTATGCAGGATGAGCTGGGGCTGCTTAGATAGGTCACATTTCATTGTGATTTCTTAGTAAGTAAAACTAAATAAGTAAAATAATAAACACGTAAATTTAAGAAATCAAAGTAGTTAGATAAAACAATAATTATCACAGGAAATTCAAACTGATTTAATATGCTGTAAATTTCTTTAAGATTTAGGGAAAGGACAGTTTTCCCTCTAAAAATTAAATAAAGGAAATTATTTTGCATAACTTAAATTATATTTGTACAACTTTAATCATTTTCTTTTTCAGGAGAAAACGCCCTGTAATGGATCTTCCTTTTTCCCTCGAACAGAAAATACATCATGCTCTCCCTTCAAAATGTAAGCTTTTATCCCCTATAAACAGTGGATGAGAGCATCTTTTTCCTCAGTCTCCCTGGATATTACTGATGTTAAACAATTGTTTTTGAATCTGCTAGGCAAAAGGTGATTTTGATTAAAATTTGTATTTCTACAACTATTTGTGACATTGAACATCTTTATTGGCTATTTGTTCTTCTGTCGGTTCCTATCCTTCACCTATTTTTGTTTTGGGAGTGTCTTTTTCTGACTGAGCTGTGTGTGCTTTAATGTATAACTGAAATTATGAAATTTGATTGCTACATATGCTGGAAATGTTTCCTCAAGTCTATTCTTTTGTCTTTTAACTGTTTATGTTTCTTTTTGTCTTAAAACTAGTAGTCGAATATGTCGCTCTTTTCCTTAGATCTACACGTGAGGACCTGGGAGGATGTCCACCATATACCACTAATTCAAGGGAGATGCAAATTGCAGACCAAAATGCAATGCATGATCGAATTTGTGTGAAAAAAGAAGAGTATATGTCCATAAAAGCAAACTTAAACATAGATATTTATATATAAATGAAACGTTGAGAAGGGCCAAGCTGTTAATAGTGTTTACTTCTAGGAATGAGATTTGGCAGGCTGAGGGTCGGCAGAAGGATTTCTTTTTTTCTAATTTTCTACAAATTTAAAAAGTGATGACAAAAAAAAGTTTTATAAAGTGTTAAAATATTTCCAAATGAATAAGATCACTTGCTTTGGGACCCCACTCCCACCCCGACACTCCGCAGTACATAAGCAGAAGAGGCAGGGGTGGGAGAATGCTGTTTGTTGCTGTTTGTCATCTCACATCCCTCTTTGCCCTCTTCTATTGACTATGGAGAGCTAGCCTCGCAGCCCCATACACAGAGGCAATGATTCAACTCTTTAAGCCATCTGGAAAATGACTAAGCATCCTTCTTGATCGCCTCAGTGCTAAAGAGCTGGGATTGTTTACTCTCAATCTTGAGTTTGCTTTCATGTAAAGAGACGAAAGGAGGAAATATCTTTCGGAATTTTAAAATGGATTACATTTATAAGATTTCCTGGAATATTGCTGAAAGGATTTCCCTTCCCTTAATGAGCAAAGGCTCATAAAAAAAACGGGGCAGGGCAAGAGAAGCCAAAAGAAGATAAGATGGTGAAGGGAAGAACAGATTAGCGTAGGGAGTTTCTAAAAAGTCTTGCAGGCCCGGCTTTGACAAGAACTGTGGAATACACTAGAGCATCCACGGTGAGGCTCTGGTAACTCTAGATCATGCAATCCTTGGCGACTTATTTGCAACAGAAAAGCAGAACACACACACACAAATAAAGCCACTTACTTTGTGCAAACGCCTCCTGTACGTCTCCCCCTACCCCTGTGAGAGAGTCCTGAGGCGTGTGGGTTGGGGTGGAGCAGGCGGAAGCTGACCGGACGGGCATGGGGATGGGCCTGCTGATGGTGTGGCTGGGGGAGGAGCGGGGAGAGCCTGCCCCCTGGGTCTGGAGAGACAATGCAAGTCATTAATTGTTTTCGCAAGAAGATGCCAAATGCCCTTCCCAGTGTCTCAGTCAAATGTTAAAGACAGTGACAATGAAATTCCCAAGTAGGTGGAAATCCTAGGTAATTAAGATGGTAATGCTCAACCTGAGTTGCAGGTGCAGATAATTTAGGACCTTACTGTACATGATCTGAAGTTTTGGTTACAAACTGAAAGCTAAGAATATTAGTACTGCATTCATTGTTCTGTAATATAGGAGATGTTTGCCCATGTAATGAAGCTACTGTTCAGCAGTGATAATTACAAGGTGTGTTTATGTTCTCCTTGAAGGAAGCTCTATATAGAATAAAAAGACATTAGGAGAAGGTTTTAAATATAAACTCGGAGACTGTTAGGGATGGATGTGGTTTACATTCTTCCTAAACTTTCAACCTGTCTTGTCCTGGCATCATCTGTAGAGGATAATTTATAGTTCCAATCATGTCATGCCATATTGCATATGTTAAGTCTCAAATAAAGAATCAAATGAAGTGTAAATTGTTTAATCCCTGTTTTACAGTAAAAGTTGTCTTTGTCGAATTGCTCTGTGATTCAGGGATTCAAATGGGGAAGAGAAAAAAGAAACACTGGTTTCTAATTTTTGGGTAATGTTTCCTGTAGGAATTGTCCTCTTTGCCTATGAAAAAGCAGTATTCTAGCAGCAAGAACAGTGGGATTTTAAAATGAGTAAAGAAAAAAGGAGAAAACAACTTCAAAGCCATTTATCTCCTCATTTCAGCCCTTGCCATGAAATAATTCTGAGGCTGTCAAACCTTGAATTTCGCAGTCTTGGTTCTACAATGAGGTCTCTTGGAAACATTTCCTGTTTTAATAATTAGTTTACAAAGGAAGTAAAGTCAGCACGAATAAGAAAATGTAAGAAGTGCATATACAACAGATTAGGTATTCACATAAATTCCACTCCAGTCCACTGGGTCTGGCCAGGGAGAGTGAGGACTCTTCCACAGCAAGGCCCAGAGATTCATCATCACCCCATTCAAACCCCAGACATGCACCACCAGAGCCGTGCTCTGGAACGTTCGATTTAGGTCTTTGCTGTGGGTTCAGCTACTTGCAGTTAAAACACACAACATCAATCTTGTAAAATGCCATGCTGTTAGCTTTCCAGGGCTCAGCATCACACATAAAAGTCAAATCTATAAATTGAGAAAAATCCCGAATTAAAAACGAAGCAAAACAGAAAATAACTCATGTGATGCTTGAGGCGCTGAGGATTCCACTCTCACTCATAACAGTACCTTGGAGTGGCCTGTCGGGCCCAAGGAAGAGAAGTTTGCCTGCTTGTGATGCTTTGCAGCCCCTTGCCCCAGCCTGCTCCAGGATGGGTCTGGTTTCCCCCAGCAAACTTGGGCAGCTCAATGTCATTACCACGAAACCTCTGCTTCTGAGGTACCTGGGCATTTCCTTGCTTCCCACACCAATAAGTGACCTCATGTTTGAGTCATGCTTTGCCATGTACATAAGGTTCTCACGTACATCCTCATGGGTTTCTCTCCATGACCCATTGAAGTAGGTCCCATTATGCTAAATGTGCGGTTATGGACCACAATGCTCAGAGAGGTGAAAAGAATTGCCCAGGAGATGGAGCTAGAGTGTCCGAGCTGGGGCCTGAGCCCAGGTGGTCTGCCTGCCCTGGAGTGGGGGGACCTGGATGGGCTATGGCTGGTGACGGATCCTTCAAAGGAGACAGGTGTTGGTTAGGTACCCTGAGATCAAGTCTGCCTGCCCTGGAGTGGGGGGACCTGGATGGGCTATGGCTGGTGACGGATCCTTCAAAGGAGACAGGTGTTGGTTAGGTACCCTGAGATCAAGTGCCTCTCCCTGGCAACCCGTCCTGCACATCCTTTTCAAGACAGGCTCCTCAGCAGAGCTCCTTGCCCTTTCTCATCTGATCTTTTTACCAAGGAACCAGGTGCAGCTGGGAGGAGGGACTGGTGATGATGGGAACTTGGACAGAGGGGTTGAAGGAAGAAGGCTCCTCTTGGCTACACAGGGTGGCTTACCTTCTCAACCCTGGAAGCCAGATCCTCTTCTGTGATAGGAGATTCACAATAATGATAAAACTCCATTTTTGTATGTAATTTACAGTCTCTAAAGCACATTTACATACCTAGTTTTGTTTTATTCTCCCACTAATCAGTGCTAGGAATGATAGTAGCTTATATCTGAATAGCAATTGGCAGACTAGAAAGCATTTGAATCCCATCTACTTCACTTAATCCTCTCAACAACCATACAGAGGTATTATTACTCTCATTTTTCAGGTTAGCAAGCTAGGATCAGAGGTGATAATTACCCAAGGTCTCTGAGCTAGTGAAGGACAGAGATAAAATGGATCCCCAGACTTTAGGCTACAAGGCCAGGGCTTCCCCAGGGCACCACAGCTGCTCCTCAGAATTGTGGGCACTGTGACCAACCATCACGTATTTCCATCTATGTTTCATAATATACCTTCACTAACAACCTGAAGACTCAGAAGGCGTAGGACACAGACTCACTAGGGAGTGGTGATGGAGCAGTGGCCTAGGGCTTTCTGCTGGGCCAGGCAGTACCTTCTAGTTACTGGGTCGGTGCCCAGGGTGGAGCAAGCAACCTTCAGGCTGGTTATCAGCCAGTACAGAAATACAGGTCCACAGTCTCTTATCTGCAAATGTGAAATCCAATGGGCAACACATGTTGTTTCATAATTAATGTGAGGCTACTTATGTGGTGTCTGCACTGGATTGCATTTCTAAAACCTCAAAGATTCTGAGTTCCGGAGCATCTCTGGACCCAGTGATTTCAGATATGGGGCTGTGGGCCTGCTTTTCAATATTTGACGGCTGTGCTGGGGCTGTAGTATACACCAGCCCTGCTCATACCTGTGCCACCAGGCTCTGCAGTATAGGGTGCTTGTGGGGTTCCCCCCTCCCCTTTGGGTACCGCACCGGCCCCACCTCTTCTTGCTTAACGCCTTGTCTCCAAAGGCAACTTCTCCTACACCTTTCTGCCTGTTTCCTGTCTTCAAAACTCCCATCAGTGGTCTTGTGTTAAGAGAAAAATAATGGACTGTGGTTACATGTTAAGGGAAAAACAATTGATGGAGTCTGAATTACACCAATGTGTGAATGGCTAATAGCCACCAACTACTAAATGAATCTCCAACTGGTGCAACTTCAAGCCGTCTGACTATATGAAGAATTTAGGCGGAAGATTCTACGCTGAAGTAAAGACTCACTGCATCTTTCCTACAATTTGTAACTCCCCAGTCATGACCAGTCTTTACGCAGACTCGGGGGTAGAACCCTGGCTCCCTGGGTGATCAGGGCCCCATCACCCTTTGTCAGGACACTGGCCAGTTTGATGCATAGTAGACATTGCTGGGAACACCATCTCTGTTCTTCCTTTCTGCTGTTCTTGCAGGACCACTAGGGAATGGCAGTTGCCTCTTGGCTTTGGGGTAGATTAGTGAAGATGTCACAGAGTTTCATTTTCACAGGTGTGGGCCCTATAGAATGGTGGCCCCTGGTCTGGTCATGAAGCATGGTTGTCGGCTAACAACTTTAGAAGAGTTAGAATGAATAATCTCTGTGAACATCCTTTCCTGGAAATTATCCGGTGATTAATGGAGCAAAGACTTAAGGGACAATGGTCCATGCAGATCAATATATAGATCTCAAATTCCCGAGAAGAGGGGTGATTTATGGAAGAAGGAAAACGTACATCATACTTGGCAAATTTAAAATTGTTCTCTTCCTAGAGAATAAATGAAAAATTCATTTCTACCCCCCATTCTCTGAGTCCACTCAACCTGCTGTTGTATCAATTTTTAAAAAGTCTGACAAGATCCATAAATTTTCCGATTTTTTTCCAGGAAGTATTTGGGTTTCCACTCAGCACCAGAAAGGAGGGATGCTTCAAGGAAAGTGCCTAATGTCTAATTGTGGAGCCAGTGCTGTCTGGAGAAATGGCAGAGCAGATGACCGTGAGACAGGAGGAGGTGGTACTATGGACCCTCCCCCACCCAGGTACCCCGCCCCCGAAAGTCAGCCTCTCAGGTTTGGGGGAGAATGCAGTGTAGTCAGGCCTGGTTTTACGTAGCAGCCTGTTTAGCTACATTCAACCCTCTTTTCATCCTTTCTTCCAGAACACACTGACTGACTATCATCATAGGGCTTCTTGTGGGGATACAGATGAGATGACTAATTCTGATTGGTCAGACAGGCGGCACCATTTGCCCTGGGTCTTATAGCAGAGATTTCCAGGCAGAAAAGAGCAAGTACTGGGGTGGGGGAGAGAAGAGCATTCCAGGGCTTGGAGTATCAAGGGCAAGGCGTGGGGATTGTGAGGGGTACTGAAGACACAATGGGAAGGCCAGTGGGGTTGATGCAGCAGGTTCTCTGTGAGGAGTGGAGTGGGATGAGGCTGAGAAGGGGTGGAGTCAGGTTTGGGGGCCTCCAGCGTCATAAAAGGGGCTTAGTCTTTATCGTGAACTAAAGCGTCATTTTCTAAGGCTTTTAAGCACGGAAGCAATTTTTACTTTCCTAGAATTAAACAACTCCTAATTTAAAAGAAGTATGAGAGAGAGAGAGAAAGAGAAGGAGAGACAGAGGCTGGGAAGGTATGCTTTTGAACACAGATGTTAGTCCTAATATTGCAGTTGATTATTTATGGTGTGAATGATCCCCACCTGCCCTCATTTTTGATCGCTTCACTACTCCATAGAAAACCCATAAGAGAGGATGAGCAGGGGAAGTAATGGAAGGTGAACCTAAACTGTTAAAATCTGTCATTTCTGGCCTGTTCATGTTCCATAATATATTTGGAAGAAGTAGGAACCTGAATGACTATGATTTCCCGAGTTAACTGGGCCATCCAGTAGTAAATAGAGAAGAGGATGGGAGTAGGAAATGGAATTTGAAATGATGTGTGACTTTCTTCCCTTGATTGAGACAATTAACTAACAAGTTAATGTAAGGAAGAGAAGCGAGTGTGTGTATGTGCGCATGCGTGTAAAATGTGGGCCAAATTAGAAGAGTTTATACATTCTCCTGTGCATATGTATACATATATACATATTATGCTTATATCTGACTTGCATATAGTATTTCACAAAGTGGTTCCACATTTGTTATCTTTTAAAATCTATACAACAACCCTGTGAGCCATGTATTATCGGTATGTTTGAAATAAATTGCTAGGAAGTTAACTGACTTATTCAAGATCTTATAGTTGTAAGTGAGGAGCTGGGACCACCATAACTCAGGTCTAGCTCCAGTGATGTTTCTTAGAAAATTATTATTGAGACCCTACCTTCTGAACTAAAGGATACTTGGTTTTAGGCCAGGTCATAGTATTTGGCACTGGAAGGATACCAGAAACTCTGGAACATGCTGTCACTGTTATTATACCCCAGCCGCCTTTGTTATTAAACTTTTTATGAGTGTTCTTTTTATGGTTCCTTCAATAAATTTTACAAATACACAAAGAAGAAAGAGGGTAGGATAATTTCGATTCAAGTTTGTAAAAAAAATTTATTGCTTATGATACCATAATCATCATATTATATTACAGGCACCATTTAAAAAAAAAATTCATGTTCTCTCCTCAAGGGGAATAAATTCATGCATTACCTCTAACAAGAAACAGCATAAGTAGGAACTATATATACCAGTATAATAAAATACATTGAACCACACAGACTTATGATAAAGCAAGTAGAGGTTATTAAATCAAGCACAATTTGTTGTGTGTGGTGTCTTAAATCTGATTTTACAAAGAGAACGTCGCCAAAGGGGAAAGGCTCATAAATAAAAACAGAATTTAGAAGCAGATGCCAGACTAAAACTTCTAAATTCTCTCCTTAGATCATGTTATACCATGAGAAGTCTATAAATTTGGATGGCATTTGTTTATTTCCTTGTAGAACTGCCTCTGCAGGATTGGGACATATGGGGTTCTGTCTTTAATTTTCACTGAAGGTCAGTATAAGAATCAGCCACACGAAATCTACTGCGTGCGTCTGTTTTATTATTCACTACTTCTATAAAGCTCTGAGTGAAAACTTCATTTTATATTTTATGCCAACAGAAATTTTGGTCCCTTGAGAGCTGGCATTTCTGTTCTGATAAAACCATCAATTATGTTTTCCTTTTTTTTTGCCTCGCTGCTAGAAAGCTCAGAGTGACACCCTCGTCCCTTATGATTAGCACATTTGCATCTTCTTCAGTTTTCGATTTTTCTGTTTCCATTTTATGAAGTCACTGTTTATGTCTCTAGTTGTAAGCTGCCTTGGGTCCTTTTTGAAAAGAGGCTTGACTATGTAAGCAAAGAAATGAGTAAGACCCGCAAACACTCTCCCCACCCAGACAACGCATTGCTGACATCTGGGTGTTGCCAATAATGGTCCTTAAGTACCTAGGCAGCAGTACCCACTGCTGGCTGACTTTCAAAGATGTAGCAGCTGTTGAGGGCCCAGTGGGGAGGAGCTGGAGGGAAAGAAGGCAGTAATGCTCTTATGGGCGCTGCCATGGTTTGGCTCTATGCATTCATCTGTTTATGAACTTCCTGGTCCACTGAGCCTTTCAGGAATGTGCTGCCTTGGAAATGGTAGAGAGAGGGTCCCCGAGGGAAATGGCTAAAGCAGGGCTGACTGGCTGCAGGATGGTTGCCTACTCTCTCCACTAGGAGAAGGAAGGTTATATGTGAGCCTTGTTTCCTTTTTCTATGCACACACTGAGTAAGAGACAGGAAAGAAAAGAGGCTGTTTGCAGAGAAGCACCATGAGATGGCATTTTTCTTTACCATGATCTAAGTGTGTTGTACGTACAACAGCAATACCCCATGTATGCATTTATGGGCAATAATACAAGCAGCAAATGTGTGTCTTTTACCCAGGGGGACTGTCTCTCATTAAAATTTGACTTCAGTTTAGTGAAGTAATTTTTTTCACAAAATACAAATAATGTAATACATTGTCTTTATTGTCTGACATTACAGATTTGTTTTACACTTTCCTTTTTTACAGACCTTGGGAATGAAGGGTAAAAATGTGTCCAGCATTTTGCAAACATTTTTTGTTACACACAAACACGCACAGTGAGTAATAGGAAAGAGAATACAGAAGAATGAAAAGGTACGTTGAAATCAGATAGGCTGTGGTTCTAATGGATCCATGGAAATACCATAAAACTTTTTGATAAGACCAGTAAGTGGGATATATTGTTATACACAGCTTGGTACATGCACTTGAAATGAAAGCTGCTTTTATTTTGCCATTGTTTTATTATTATTGTATTTTGAGTACGCTGCTCCCTCTGCTGGCTTCTGCAACTGGCTACATGGCCAGACAGGGGGCTTCAGTTCAGGCTACAGGTAGACAGTCAGTCACAAGGCTCCTATTTCCAGGGAAGATGTATGCAACACCTTGTGAACTCCTACAGCAGAAAGGTGCTTGGTGGTACGAGAAAGGCTGAAAGTTACCTATTCTTTGGAGATGACTGTCAACCAATGGTAGGGATTCTGGTTTGGGAAGTGAACAGTTACGGAGTACAGTCTTTCTCTTATTAGACTGAGCACATAACGGTGAGCAGTGGGGAGCAGGGCTTAAACATTATGCAATGAAAGGAGATGTAATTGGCTGGTTTTTACAAAAAGAAGTTCCACATCTTTTCAGTAAAATGGAAACTAAACTGAATATTCACAGCATGAGAGGATGTTGAGGTTAGCTTCCGATGCTGTGGATTCTGCCTAGTGTAATGTTAGTGATTGTGGTGAGTGTCTTTCTATGAAGAGAAGGGTCTGATCAACAACCCAGAAGAGCATGAGACTGGTTTGAAACTTAGACCCCTGGAGGTCTAAAAAGTTTCCAACAGGTTAAAGCGTGTTCCCTGTTCTAAAGGACATAATAGCTCTTCTTTTGATGTTGACGGTAGTAGTAGTTATAAAAAATGCTAAATTTTATATGTCTCCAATCAAGCACTACATTGAAAAGGAAGCAAATTAGTATAATTTTTTTTTCTCTTTCCAAACTGAAGCATGAACATACATTAGAGGCGAAAGCAATGAGAAAAACGGCAGGACGGCAGGCCCCTCCACTGTTAGTTAAGACCTGCAGTAGGGGACATAACTTACTCCCTGCTTCAATTCTTCTTCCTACAGAAAGATCGAATCAATAATAGTTAGATTACCCAGGGTTCCAATAAGAGCAGGTACACAGTGTGAAGGAATGAAGGTGGGGGAAACCTCAATGTGGCTTTGATGGCAGGTCAAGCCTCTTCTCCTGGTGACTTTAGTTCCAAGTCTATTTGGATATTTGAGACTACAGACCCATCTCTTTCCTCCATGCATCCAACCATCCTTCAACATGATTTCTCTCTCTATCCTGCTATCGGTACATCCTGATACCATAGACTATGCTTAATTAGGCTACGTTGATGCCAAGATAGCTGGTGGTAAATAGACTCCTATCCCATTGCTACAGTGACAGAAGCTACAGAAGTAGAACCAGGGGGCTGTTTTCAGTTTCCTGTCATTCAGTGAAGGGAAAGATGGGATGGGCCCACTTCATTTGGTAGATTTGGAAAAACAAAAACCAGAAAGAGCTTTTTTGTATCATCAAATGAGATAATAGGGCAGAAACAGCAAGAGGTTATTATTTATCTAGTCCTGTCTTAACATAGATAGTACAACAAAAACTGAATTCTGCACTTTATATGTCTAATACAATGAAAAGTAAATTTTGTTTAGTAAAGATAAAGCATTCCTGACACTGATGGCAGGAAAAGTCGACTAAGGAATATAAAAGAATAAAGAAAACAAAAGAAAAAAGTGTTACACTTACATCAGTGCCTGGGACACAGTAGGTTCCAACAAATATTTGTTAACTATTTAATTTTTTTTAATTAAAAAATAAATAAAGAAAGGAAGGAAGGGGGAGAGAAAGAAAAGTAAGAAAAGGAAAGGGAAGGAAAGGAAGGGAAAGAAAGAAAACAATACAGAAACAATAAATGATGGGGTGTCAGGGATGTGGGAGATCCAGGGACTGAAAGGCAGGACATCTTGTCTCACAAGTGAGTTGTCCCAGAGACTCTGCCTATGTCCTTTTATCAGAAGTTTTAGTTCCTGCCTTTGGCATGTCACAGTTCCAGTCCCTACTGGTTCATGCTTATTTACATCAGGCAGGATGACAACAGAGCACTGAAACCTCTGCTGGGGCAATCATGGACATGAGGCCATAATTAGTCTGCTTTTGGGTTGAAATGCAATTTAGTGCATACTGAAGAAGGGAATAAGATTTATGAAAGAAAGAATGCCACTTCCCAATGAGAATTATTATTATAACACTCTGCAGAGGACTTCTATAGATCATCTTATTAAATGTTCTACCTGAAGAAAAGTTAAGGAGATATTCCCATTTACAATTTGCATTTGAAACCCAGAGAAGTTATGTGACTTGCTGCTAAAGCCACACAGATTTGACAACATTTACTGAAATTAACAAAGTTACTCCTCTTAATAAAACTATAATCACCAAAATTATTTAATGGCTGTATCTTCGTTTTCTGAATTAGATATTAGCTTCTGTTTCGATTAGTCAGAATTTCTGAAGGCTATGAAATGTAAAATACTTCTAAATAAATCCAGTTTTACTACTTCCAAGGACAAAAGGAACTGTAAATGAGCCAACTGGAAATAAGTTGTGCCATGAAGGTCCTCAGTAGTCTGGTTCCAGGAAATGGGTAAGAACGAGCCCTATAATTGACTGCTATCATTTGATGTGCCTAAGAAGAGATACTAAAACTGAGTTTGAAACCACATTTTGGAGGAACTCACATATAGAAATTATGTGCAAATTTCTTTTATTTTTTTAATTAAACATTTTTTTTACAAATGCCACAGTTGTAGGTCTAGGAAACATTTATTTGAAACATCTTACCTTTAGTAGCTTCATGAGACCTTCTAACTGGACCATTAGCTCTCTCCGGCTCTCCTGGAGAGCAGACATTCTCTGTTCCAGCTCATCCTTGCGCTGTCTAAGAAAGAAGCAGTTGTCATCAGAAACAGCATTCAATTCACTGAGCTAATCACATTTGCCAGTCTTGTGGACCGCTAGAAAAAGGGCATCTCTGGGTCTTTGACATAGGTTACCAGGCAGGGAAATGTCAAATGAATGAACAATTATAGCTTGGGTGTATGTTTATTTGTTAAAAGTCATACTAAAACAAAATTAAACTCTTATTGGATATTTACCCCCATCTACCCTGAATTAACTATTTAATGAAATCTTTTCTGAATGCTTATTATGTCATGGGCCCCGTGCTGTGCCATTGGGTTCCCTTGAGATAATAAACAAAAACCAAATTGTCACTGAAAAAGGCCAATCCCTCAGATCCTCCAAAACCAAGGACCCTTTTGTAAATCTCACAGAAAACACCGATTACCTTAGTATGTGGAAATCGGATTTAGAAAAGTACATTTTTCATCTCTTCAATTCTTAGTATGCAATGTGGTGCCTTTCAGAGGAGAAATGTTCGTGGTATAGTTTTTATAGTCGATATAAATCTTCTGGCTTCGGTTTGGCTGCACAGAGTGAGGTCGGAATAAAAGGAGTTCCCATACAATTGTTCTAACAATCTACAAGGTTTGTGTTTGCTTAAGTTTGGTTTGTTTTGCAGAACTTCTATCAGCTGTCAGCAAGAATGAAAACAATGAAGGACACGAATATTAATGATTCACATTTCTGAAGTATATTTTCCAAATCTATTTCAAATCTATTATTTCATGACCATTAGTGAAAAAGTAATATATACATTTTTTTCCTTGCCCCAGAGGCTCCTGTCTGATTTTGAAATATTGGAAATTATATTTTGAAAAGTGTGTGGATGCTTTAACCACGTATGTGTTAACGTATGACTAAGTATGCCTAATCTCAATGGCACAGACACAATATTAAGTGGAGCTATAGCAGGGACTCTGAAATGAAAAACTGACAATATAAAAATGTCACACTGAGTTAGGTCAATGACTCATCCAATTAAAAGATATTTTGTGGGAGGACAGGTTATGGATATAAGGGAGACATTTTTAATTTGCTTTCATATAGGCCTTCTCTATAACGAATTATGAATTTAAAACTCATAAACACATCGCTCTTTTTGAAAATATTTATATTTGGGGCTTTTATTGCCATTTAAAGCTTATTCCAGAGCAATCCTTCCTTTGATTTTCTCTACAATTGCCTCTTTTCTGAATCCCGAGGACAAGGCACATCATAATTTTATAGACTTTAATTCTATCTTATTTTAGTCTTTGGTCTTCCTGGTCTGTAGCGTTCTAATTTTGAAAGTCTTGCCCAATTCGAAAATATTCTTCAATGACAAACCCATTAGCTGTTTTTTCTTTGACCTTGTCTGCACATGGTGTTCCAACTGCATCCTCAGAAGGGCTTTGGCAGAAGAGTAGATAATGTTTCTGATTTATTTCCACTTCTCTTCTAGATACTGTTCTATAAATTTTGGCCTTTTGATCATAAGAGCACTTTGAGAAGAAGGCTGAAGCAAACTTCTAATATTACAGGTAAGAAATATTAAGAGAAGCATCCAAAAACTATCAGAAAAAGTTAGCTTATAGTAACCTATAATTAACCAACATTGAAAAAACCTTACTTGTACATTTATCTTACGGTAGTACTCTTTCAAAACATGACATTTACTCTTTCATGCACTTGATCGAATTACATTTTTAAAAATCATTTAATAATGATAATAATAATTTTTAAAAAATCATTTAATAATGTCTTCTCTGTAAGTGTTTATACCAGTGGTTACCAAATGTGGGTAACACATCTGTGGTGTAGCCTCCGCTGTTCCAAGGAAAAATGAGAAAACAAGGACTAAGTAGTGATTTTATTTTCATAGAGCTAAAACTATTCACGTCTGAACGAATGCCTTTTATTCTGTCAGATTATTTCTAGCTTTGTGTGTGCATTAAAACCTACTTTCTTTAGGACAGCGTTGGAACAATAGGCAAAATTTTAATATGAACTGTATATTGGATAATAATAAATAACAATATTAACTTTCCTGAATTTGATGATGATACCACGGTTATCCAAGAGAATGTCTTCTTTTTTCTTAGAAAATATATACATAAGTATTTAGGGATAAAGCGTTATAATGTCTGCAATTTACTCTCAAATGGCTCATCAAAAATGCATATGTAATTTACATATATAAGCATATATAGGGAGATGCAGAAGGGTGTGGCAAAATGTTTGCAACCTCTAGGTGAAGCGTAGAAGGAAATTCATTGTGATATTCTTACAACACTTCTGTAGGCTTAAAGTTTTTTCAAAATAAAAAGTTGAAAAATATACTGTCATTCATGAAACTTGCAATAACAGATGATGGTAGTTTAAAAACGTCATTATATGGTAAAACAAAAAGTACTCAACTTTATGTTGTTTCCCCAAAATAATAAAAAAATTAAGCTGGTCTAATGAAATTCAAGTCTGGAAACCACAGACGTGCATCAGAGATTATGATTCCATTTTTAATTGGTAAAAACAAAAAAAAGTCCCTTTATATTAATAAGTTTTCTCGAAGAATAATTTTATATACTTTGAAAAGAATGCCATGTGTATAATACGATGCTTATTTTTTAGGCAAGGGATAGATATGAAAATTTATACTTGTTTTTCTTAAGATTTGTGGTGTCAAGTTGCTTCTGCAGTTTTCATTAATGTTTTCTTCATTATAGAACATGGTATTGTCCTTGCAAACATAGTTCTTTAGCTGTCTTTTAATGGTCCTGCAGTGGGAAGCCTCACTAGATCACCTTGCAAAATTTCCCTCAGGTACTCCATCCAATATGGGAAGGAAAGACCTAGGGAACCACATGGAATGTTCCAGCCCTTTCTCTGCTTCATCTGTGCCTCTTGATTGCCTGTATTCTTGAAATTATGAGTAAAGCTCAATACTAGAGTAAGATCATGTGAATCTGACTTGACAATCTAATCCACTGTGTTAACCTGATACGTAACTCATTCTCTAATGGCTTCCTGTTGTAGGATTGATAGCAATATCCTCAAGATGAATGAACTAAATGAACAATAAAATGGAGGATGATAAATGTGATAGCAGTGTAGATGGACCGGAGGCTGGGAATCAGGAAAGTGTTTATTATAATAGTACAGGCAGGAGATAATTAAGACCCAAGGAACAGAGATAGAATATACCTGTGATGTTCATTGTGCAGGATCCTGGGCAAGTTATTTAACTTCTGTGGATCTCAGTTTCTTTATCTATAAAAAGACTATAATAGTAATGTCCAGCTCCCAGGATTTTTTTTTTTACAGCTACTGTATGGAACAGTGTATGTAGAGCTTAGTGCATAGAAAGTGTCAGATGAGCACGCAGAAATGCCTATCCTATAATCCTATTCAGTTGCCAGATCTCGGTTGCAAACCTGGCTTTCCACTTTCTTGTGGCTAAAGTAAAAAGGGAAATATGATCATTTAGAAAGGTCATGATGCCCTTAAGATAAAAATAAACTATGCGTTCATGAAAAGCAAAGCTCTGATCTTGCTGCCCCCATTCCCCTACTAAATACATTTCTCCTGTTGGCTTCTCAGTAAGAGGCCCAGAAAGGATGTAACAGGTGGAGAAGACCTCTGTCAAAGCTACAATAAGGAGTCCCTTTGGCGGCTTCACATGGTCACCCCTCAATGGGAACTCAAGGCCAAAGTAATTGGCGAGAAGTCATTGTTTTGGAACTCTTTGAAAGTCTGAAATGACTAAAAGATAAAACACCCACAGCAGGTTTTCTTAACCTGGGATGTCAGGGTATCTTTGAAATCCCCAAATTGTTAAAAAGTGCTTAGCACAGTATAAATGGTTCATAAGCATCTAAAGAAATATACTTCAAGGGAGTGTACTTCTTCTTCCAGGCAGAAGAAATGTGGAGAATATGGAGGCAGGCAGGCAAGTGAATCAGCTAGGATTTAGGTGTCTCAAGCCTCAAGCCTTATGTGTGGGCCACCAGCTGACAGTGATGGCCGAAAGTCTAGAAGTTCCCCACAGAACCAGACTCCTTAGTGTAGCTTTGAGCTAGGCTGGGGTCATGGGAATGCCCACGAGTCAGGGCCAGAGGATGGTTAAAATTATTGGTCTGTTCCAAGATAGCAACATCAAGGAGGGAAGAAATATCAGTTGGAAAAGTCATCATCAGTGAACCAGGCACATAAGGATGCCTTCCCAGATGGTATCATCCTAACGGAACCAAATACTTTGGAACCAAAGCAAATGCTAACTGGGGGGAACCAGTGAAAATGCTTATGAAAATTCCTAGTCACCACCCTTCCACTAGAGGATGGGACGGCCAGTGAAGAGTTATAAAGAACATTCCAGGCAGAGACAGGGTGCCCTGAGGTGTAGATGAATGACTATTCTATTAAGTTGGTTTATTCGGTTATATTTCTGTGTACACTAGACTTAACTTTCTTGTAAGTCTCGAGGGCCTACATGATCCTATTTGGCAAAAGATGCTTTCAAGCAGTGATTTTACTTTCACATGCCTTTGAGGAGGAGGATGTAAAACATCCCTTTCTCCTTCCTTTCATTTTCATCCCTTCTGGGTGATGGTAGTAGAATGTGCAAGAATTTCTAATACATCTCTGTGAAAGTAGGACCAGAAATCCCATACGTTGAAAAGGAAGAATTTCTGTTCCTTCCATTAAATTATTTTGTTCTTCCAAAGTATGACGTGATCTCCTCACATCAAGCAGCCTCCACCAAGATGCAAGTTCTATAGGTCTCCTTTCCATAACTCAGGCCTTTGGTGGGTTTGCCCCTCTAGCCAGGGGCACAAACCTGGGGAGACTGGATCCCAGCTGAGAGGCAGGGCCTGCCCCCTGGCCAGATGTGCTGAGTGCCCAGATGTTAATACGGCCAAAGGGCAGGGTTAGAGTGGAACCCCCGGAAACATCCATGACTATAATCAATAGGGACTTGATAAAATCCAAATATAGCCATAGAGAATCTGCTTAATTTAGTCTCTTTGTATGGAGGAAGTAAGTGGCACTCTAACTCTGACAAGAGTTTCTGAGAAGAGGCATCTGTACTTATTATAAAAATTATGCCTCAGAGTTAGATTTACCTGAAATATACTTGGCATCCAAAATGAAAGATAGAAAGAATGTTATACTTGCTAACTACAAGTGCCTTGTGAAATATCCGTATGACATGTTCATGAGGGAATGTCTTTGAGTTTATGTTTGTGTTGTTTATTACACAGACAGGTTTGGGTAAGTGCCATATTCAAGGCATGGTGGTTAAGTCTGATTGGAGCCCATGGTGTGACTCTCCTTTTGCACGTGGTCACAGTCCTCATCCACGTCTTACTACTCTCTACCGGCCTGACCCTGAGAAGTGCCCTGAAATTCAGGGCTTGAACCAAAAGACCTTCTTAGGTCCTTCCTAACTCAAATATTTCATGATGACAGACTAGGTAACACCAGGCCTTTAAATTCATTTGTAGAACAAGAAGGTATGAAAATCTGTATGCAAAGCTGTTAGGGACCAAGATTTAGAGATAATTTATGGGTCACAGGTAAATTTTTAAATTTAAAAAACTGTGATGATTCTTTAGTTGTTTACATGTTTGTTTTGTTGATCACTTTTATCATAAACCTATTGTTGATAGTGCAAATAACTAAAGAGAGTTGAGTTCAAATTTTTTCCAGTAAGACAGATATAGAGAACAAACGAGTGGTTACCAATGGGGAAAGGGAAGGGAGGAGTGGCAATATAGGGGTAGGACATTAACAGGTACAAACTATTATGTATAAAATAAGCTATAAGGATATAGTGTACAACACAGAATACAGCCAATATTTTATAAAAACTATAAATGAGGTATAACTTTTAAAAATTGGGCATCACTATGTTGTATACCTGTAACTTATATAATATTGTACATCAACTATACTTTAATTAAAAAAAGAGAGTGCACTATAAAAAATTCTGTTTTCCGGTGAAACATTTTGTTTCGGATCTAAAGAACACTGTTTCCTTTTCTCTGTGTCAAAGAAAATAAATAAATAAATAAACAGCCTCTTTCCCAAACCTCCAAATTCCAGCAATTAGATGTGTGCTATTAAAAAAGCAAACAAACAGATGTTAGCAGCTATGGTGGCTGAGGACCGTTTTCTGGTGGACACTGTTAGACTTTATTGATGATCTCAGACACCTGTATTTCCTGAGACGCCTTGGGCTCCTTTTCTTACCTGAGGAGGCGGAGCTCTGCCAGCAGAGTGGGGTTTTGCTGCGCCTTCTCTGGAGTGGGCTGAGAAGCTTGTTCATGCTCTAGCCGCAGCCTCTGGATCTCCTGTAAGATTTCTCTTGGGAGAGAGGAGGAAGGTAAGAAACCCAGGTCAGTTAACTTCCAGGATGTCCAGGATCTAACATCTGAGTAGATCAGGGCCACCAGAGCAAAGAAAGAAGGGGTCATCCTATGTGTTGGAGCAGAACCAACCCTCATTACCTGACTGTGTTTACGAGGTGTTGGCTGTAGCTAGTTGGGTTAGGGAACCATTGACCGAAACCTCCCGCCTTGGCCAGGTACGATGATAACTGATAACTGCTTGCCTGAGTTGTCTCACAACAGGAGGTTCCGATGAGGAACATGGTGCTCCCACTAAAAACTAACCAGGAGAATTTGGGAGGGGCCAAGACAGGGAGGAGACGACCAATCTCCCAGAATCCTTCGTGCTGGACTCCATCTTGGATGAGAGATGCGCGCGCCACCAGGAAGGACCCTGAGTCAGACCAAATATGGGCCAAGCAAGATGATTGGCCAGAGACATCCCGGAAACTAAGTCCATTACCATAAAACCTGAGACTGCGAGCCACGTGGCAGAGCAGATCTCCTGCGTTCCCTTACCCTGCTGCTCAGCCCCCGGGCGCCCGTTCATTCCCAATAAACGCTTTGCTTTGTCAATATGCGTCTCCTCCTTGGACAATTCATTTCTGAGTGTTAGACAAGAGCCCACTCTCCGGCCCTGGAACATTGTTGCCCCTTCCTGCAACAGTTGGGTGCTCTGGGTGAGGGGATACTGCCTTCATCTCCAGTACATACAAACTAGGAAGACTCTGCAATATGTCATTGCAATATGTCAAGCTGAGTGTTCTCCCCAGGACCTAACACTCTCTCTAGTCAGTAATATAATGCTGTGGTAATGTGTTCAACTTTGCAAAGTGCACTGCTTAAGAGACAAAAATGAATCTTCCTCTTATTTATGATCTCAGTCTGACACCAAGTAAGAGATGCTTGGAAAAAATAAGGGTAAATGGTGCTCATTTTGCAAAACTAAATAACCCCATTCTCTCACTAGGAATGAAATTCTTCTCACTGAATTTATCTGAGAAGCCCCCAGGTAGGCAAAATTCTTTCTCTTTTCCTTAATATTTTCAGCCTTAACAATGTATCTGAATAAGGGTAGCCTTGTGAAGGAAAGTGCTTTTAAAAGGATTCTCTGTAATTGAGTCTGTGACATAAGAGTGCTATTGGCGTGACCCCTATCAGGGGTGAGACATGTCAGTCTATTATTGATGTTGGGGCCTGGGCTGCCCTGCATTGAGGTGAACATTAGGCCAGCCATAAGGGATGGGTGACCGATGTAAGACAAATTATCCCTAAGTGAGTTAGAAGCTATTAAGCAAGGTTAGAAGTCACAGGTTCTTGGGGGAGGGGTCAGTCTCCCATCCAGCAAAATGCAGAAGAGCCCATAAGATAGAACGAAGCACCAAGAATGAAAGGTGAACTTGGTGAGCAAGGGGGATGGGTGGCTTTCCATCTGAGAGGCTGATTTACAACCTCCTGCTTCACAAACATGCCAGAATCAAGAAGCTAATTACCAGTGAGTCACTACACCTCTCATGGGTATGGTGGGAGCTTGGACCATAATTCAGTGGTTTTCAACTTGTTTTTCTGTCCCCCTTGGTGTTCTATAGTGGAAAATTTTCTTTAAAAGAAATCTTCCATGGAAAGCCAACATGTCACACAGTTAAGAAGGAACTTCTCTGGTTAAAGAAAGGGGGGTGCCCTGTGCTACTAGCTCTTCTTCCTCTTCATACACCCCTACAGGGCCCCTGAACTCCCAGAGAGCCCAGCCTGAAAATCAGTGAACTGAGATTTCCAAGATCTTGAGGGCTAACATCCTGACATTCTGTGACTTCCACTAGTTCTCCTTGTTGGTTCTCAGGACAGAGCCATGACACAGCCATTTAGCCCAAGGAAGAAAGAGAGAGAAGCAGCTCTGATCAGATGAGAATAAAGGTAAGATAGGTAAGGAGCATGAAGGCTTAGACTACACCCAGGGACTGTGCTGTCTTCTTTAGTCTTATTTAATCCTCATAACAGTTCTATTGTATATAGACTAGTATAGTACCAATAGTTCTATTGGTACTGCTATTATCTGTTTTATGAATGAGGGAATCAAGCACATACCAGTTAGAAGTCTTGCCCAATTTCAATAAGTAGGTGGTAGCATTCATTTGAACTTAGGCAGGTTTGCCCCAAAGCCCATATGTGTTCGACTCCTTCAGTCTTTGGTACTTGCTTGGACAGGTCTAGCCTAGGCAGGCTGTGACTTCCGCAATGTAATCTGAAGAGTCCAGCTACTCCTAATACTAACTCTAACTGGCTCCTCTAAGGAGGCTCTAAGAAAGCATTATCTTCTAAAGATCATTTCTGAAATGTCTAAATGACTACCTAGGGTAGTCATGGAGTCAAGTGAGGAATTCCATCCTTCCTTGAAGCCCAGAGATCTGATTATTGGGTTAACTGTCACTTTGGAGACCATGGGATCCCTGGGTGAATTTCCGTGGTGCAGGAACTGTGACCTGGATAAGCTTCTGGGATGTGGTTCTGGGGTCTTTGGAAGGCATGAGGCCGTCGGCTTAGAGAGATGAGTTCAGGAGGGACTAGATGCTCTTCAGGCACGGGGCGGGGAAAGAACTCAGGGAAAGGATGAAGCTCTCTTTCTGCCAACTCTTCTCATTTCCATTCCTTTATTCCCTCTCATCCTAAAAACATGTATTCAGAGATTGCAATCCCAAAATGCCCTAGAAACAAGCAGTAAGAGTGGTAGCATGGTACAGCCAGCACATTCATGGGGTTTCTTGCTGATTCTGGAATCCCACATGGAGGTAGATATCCCTGGGTTATTTCCTTAAAGGAAGTCCCGATTTCCCCTCAAGTGTGCTATCCCCATGCTGAGTGGAAGCAGAGAATCGGAAGGGAAAACAAAGTGCTTTGGAGAGATGGGAGAGTAGATTAAAATTGAAACCAAGATATTTGTGGGCTTGTAAATTTTCACTTTAGTCTTTTTTTCTTTCTAAGAATATGAAAATGTGCCAAGTGAGTTTGTATCTTCCTTTTAATTTTTTTTTTTTTCTATAGAATTTTAAAGAATAGCATGACTGGGCTTCCCTGGTGGCGCAGTGGTTGAGAGTCTGCCTGCCGATGCAGAGTACACGGGTTCGTGCCCCGGTCCGGGAGGGTCCCACATGCCGCGGAGTGGCTGGGCCCGTGAGCCACGGCCGCTGAGCCTGCGCGTCCGGAGCCTGTGCTCCGCAACGGGAGAGGCCGCAACAGTGAGAGGCCCGAGTACCACAAAAAAAAAAAAAAAAAAAAAAAAGAATAGCATGACCATTTATCCCAAAATTTTCAGGTCATACTCTACAGGTATGCCACAATGATCAAAACCTCCTCCTTTACCAGTCTGATCTCAGAAGGGACATCAGTGTTTAAAGATGAGATTAAGTACTAAGACAGCTTGGTGTTGTTCTAAGAAATACAGAATGTACAAGTCGTTCTTATATGAGGCTTACTCAGCATTGAGTTTGAGATCTGACTCAGATATTTATTACTTTCTCACTCAGTATATATTGACTGAGTTTCTACACTGTTACAATGTACCAGGCATGGTTCTGGAGCTCAGGGGCCATTTGTCACAGCCTCTGTTCTCAAAGAACTTCCATATCAGTCAGGGAAGACAGACAATAAAAAGGAAACAAACACTTAAATGCGACTTTTTTTCAGAGAGAGATGTCATACACACACACACACACACACACACACACACACACACACACACGGATGTAACAGAGAGTGGTTCCTGGAATAGGAGGTAGTGGGAGAGATCAGACAGGTGATCTTTTAGGAGGTGGCATTTGAGCTGAGATCTGAATGATGGGAAGGAGCCATCTCTGCAGAGACCCTGAGGAAGAGCTTTCTAAGCTGCGAAAACAACCGATACTTTAAAGGCTGTAAAGAAAGTAAGAAGCAGGAGTGTCCCAAAAACCTTACCTGTTCTTGTTTTCTAGTTCTGCGATCAGCTGCCTTTGTTGCTTATTTGCATCAATGGTGAAGGAGATGTCAGGGGCACTCCTCTGCTGCGCTGGCTGCTGGAAAATATGTGGTTTATACTATTTAGTACCGGGAAGGGGAACCGACCTGTGTTTGAAAAGACAGGGGTCGTGAGATATGCACAAGAAAGAAAAAACTATTTCTATCAAAACAAAAAAAGCAAAACGTAAAATTAAATGGCCATTCCTCTCCTAAGGACCAGCTTTTTTAGGGATCTGGAGCACATCTATGCAGTGGAAAGCAGAATAGAATCCTTTGGCAGGCAAATATACAAAACATGGGAAAAACTGGTTTTTAGCTTTCTGACTTGAAATCTTTGGGGAACTAGTACATTCTTGCCATGCTGTTCCCACCGCAACTATTCTTTCAGTAAAGGTGGGGTTAAAAAAATATATCACTGCTGAAGTATCTCTTTCTCTAGAGTTACTGTTTAACCACTGTAATATATAATTAAAAATTGTATAGTTTTAAAGTCATAGTTAATATGACTTTCTTTTCTTCTTTTGGTCAACATACTTTTAGCATTTCTGTATTCATATATGTAATTTTACACTGATGGATTGCAACCAGCTTTAACAACTGGTGTATACGCAGTCATAACTTTCTCCATTCTTTTGTTTTTTTTAATAAAGTTATTTATTTATTTATTTTTGCCTGCGTTGGGTCATCATTGCTGCGCTTGGCCTTTCTCTAGTTGAGGCAAGCAGGCTACTCTTCATTGCAGTGCATGGGCTTCTCATTGCGGTGGCTTCTCTTGTTGTGGAGCATGGGCTCTAGGCACGTGGGCTTCAGTAGTTGCGGCATGTGGGCTCTAGAGCACAGGCTCAGTAGTTGTGGCGCACGGGCTTAGTTGCTCCGCGGCGTGTGGGATCTTCCCGGATCAGGGCTCGAACCCGTGTCCCCTGCATTGGCAGGCGGATTCTTAACCACTGCGCCACCAGGGAAGTCCCTCTCCATTCTTACATAATCACATATATATAAGAATATGATTATATAAGAATATATATGTATATATACCTCATATACCATATTTATATATGTATTTATGTGTATGTGTATTTAGTCAAGGGCTTATTTGATATTGTTTTGTAAAAGCAGGGTCAGATTACGTAGACTTCCCTGTGCCTTGCTTTCTTTGCTCTACCGTACATTATAGAAATTCCTCAATGTCAGTCATTATTGCTTTTAAAGCAAATTTAAAAAAATTACAACTAATCTTTCTACCAAAGAATGCCACGGTTTAAAAAATAACACCATTGCCTAAGCCCAAAGACATGGTGAAACTCAGCCTGATTTTTCATTTCTAGAAAACTAACCATAGGGAAAGGTTTAAACTTGGTAAAGGTCTGGCTTTTATAAATTTTTCTATCATTTTTAATTAGTGTTTCTTTTAACAAAGAAATGATTTGTGTTGCTAATGAAGAAGTGTGAGGTCCTATATTTTATATCCTAAATGGTCTTCTATAGCTGGCATATGGGAACTTTGACATGTGATGCAGAGTTTTCTCTTGATTTTACGACATAATTTTCTCTTTCTTGCTATATTGAGAAGAGTAGAAACAACTTTTGATATATATCTCTTGATATATTGATAAAAGTAGAAACTTATCTGAGCCAGCTGTGGATTTGAATCATTGCTTGTTCTTTATATTAACCGATTAGGAATTATCCAGAGAAATTGGGTATTGGTCTGGTTCAGCACTACTGTAGCAGGAATACCTCGAGCTCTGATTCATGCTAGACCAGAATGATAGCTGGAAAGTGAAAATGGAAGCAGTGGAAGGCCAGGTCGTTTTTAGGTCTTGCAGACGGCACAGTAGCAACTACTCAGCTCTGCTGTTGTGGCGTTAGCTATTAGGGTAACAATCAACGTGGCATCCGCTCGTTCAGGGTACTTACAGACGGGGTGGGCTCTGCTGCCAGTCTTGCCGCGTATCTGGCGATCAGCCGGTGCTCTTCATCAAGCCGGGTGGAGCTCTCGAGCATACTATTGAGAACAGAGCAAGAAAGACTCAGTCAGGCAACTGAGAAAAGATGGGAATATTCATACTACCACCTGGAGTGGGCTGGCTATTTCAGTGTTTCAGTGCAAAAAATTTGATCGTTATACAAAATCCTGTTAGGTTAATGACATCAGACTTGGATTCATGATGTGATCTAATGTGTGGCCAGGAAGGTCCTTAATAAATCCTACCTTACAAAGAAATCTCCAAAGAGGAGTGACTTTCCTGATCAACATTTCTGATGAAAGAATACTTGCTCTTTAATTTAGTTGTATTGCCTTTAACAATTTAATTTCCTTATGACAAAGTAATACATGTCTGAAACCAACATGATAGACAATATGAAAGCAAGAAGGAAGAAGAAACCAATTTGTGGTCAGCCTCCAGTGATCCCCCACTCCTGGTATTGTGTAATCCTCTTCATTTATTGTAGTATGACTGGACTTAACAGACTTAATTCTAATGAATAGAATGTGGCAGAAGTAATGGAAGGTAACTTCCAAGATTAGGTTATAAAAAGACCCTGGCTTCTGTCTTGGGCATGTTTTCTCTCTCTCGAGCCCTTCTGGATTGCTTGCCCTGTGGGAAGCTGGATGCCATGGCACAGGCGGCTCTGTGGAAAGGCCCACGTGAGGAGGAGCTGAAGCCAGCCAGGAACCATGGGTCTGGATCCCCTTCGGTAGAGCCTTTAGATGAGATCACAGCTTGATTACAACCTCGAGAAAGTCCTGAGCCAAACATGGATTCCTCACCCACGGTGTTTGTTGTTTTAAGCTGCTGAGCTTTTGGGTAATTTGTTATACAGCAATACACAATGAATATAATTCTCATCTACAATACTACTACCCAGGTAACTTGCCATTTTATATTTACTTCCAGAGAAGTAGAATTATGGTAGTGGCTTCTAATGACATGAGTGGGAATCATTTAGTGTCTCCTATAAATTTATAAAAATTCTTCCTGTTAGAATAAGAATAATCTGACCCCTTAAAAAAACGAATGCAAATAGAAGCATTTTCAACTCTCCCAGAGAGTTGATATTTCAGAAAGCCCTTCACGTAAGACTAAGTTTTGGGTGCCACTAAAAAAAAATTCTGTGAAACATACCAGTAACACTAATCCTGTTAATAGACTAGTTGGTCATAGTTTAGTTTATCAGTTATTATGGTGAGTATCAGGCCAGGATCAAGATTAGAAACCAGTTCCTCTCAATCCCCAAATATACTTATATTCTCCACTGGCTTATATTTAAGCCTGTTCCTTAAAAAAAAAAAGTCAATACTCATGGTTATACGTTAAAAATGACACACTTCTATGCCAATGTTAAGGTTTTAAAAATTATCCACTGAAAGACTTGGATCCATATAAAGTAATATACATTTATATTATTTATTTGTACACTTACATAAAAAGTAAACATGCAACATAGTCTTTCAACCTTTGTTCTAAAGTGAGAAGATGAATGAAAATCATTATGCACTTTCAGCATATTAGCTATGTCACTTAGCTCTTCTCTGCTTGGTGGAATCTGTTACCGTAACATTTTTTTCTGGTCATTTGGAAGATATTCCTGTTTCCCTTATCTATGCGCTAGTCTATATTCCTCACATATGTAAACTGTACCTGTTCTTATCCTGAATTCTTCCACTAGATTTAGCCCTTTTCTCTAAGTTACCGTATCCTACCTAGAATATTCCTGAATTTCTCCATTTACCAAGTCACTTCTTCATCCTCAGAAAAAGAGCCTTCACTTTCCTGCTGCCTAAATGAGACAATGCATGTAAAAAACGTCAAGCTGGTATGATGCCTAGAACACATTAAATGCTCAAAAATATTAGGTAATACAGTTTTATTATTATTTTGCCTCTTGAGTAACCTGTTCAGATTCATTAATGATTCTTGGCTCCTTCAAAATGTCATGTACAATCCAACAGCTATCTAGAGCAGGGCTTCTCAAACTTTAGTGTGTATACATATCACGTAGGGATCTTGTGAAAATGCAGTCTCTGGTTCTGGAGTGGGGGTGGGGTGGGGGGGTAGGATGGGACCCCAGAATCTGCATTTCCAACAAACTCTCAAGATACGTTGGTATTGCTGGTCCAAGGACAACACTTTGAGTAGCAAGGATCTAGAAGGTCTTGAAAATAAAATGGAAAAGTTAAACACATGAAATGAACCCCAAATGTAAGCCATATAAAAGACATCATTTTTCATATCCATATAGCATTGTGATATTTTCACACAAATTCCCTTAAGACAGATATTCTAGGATTCAGGGCTCACCTATGTGTAGTATTAATCCCAGTGGATTGAGATTTCAACCAGCATACAAATTTAAAGTCGGAATAAGAAACTATTTTTACTAGCAAAAGGCTGAATTAGTTCTGGACAATGGATGCTTTAAAACAGATGTTTAAAGCAGATGTGTTAGGACTTCCCTGGTGGCGCAGTGGTTAAGAATCCACCTGCCAATGCAGGGGACACAGGTTTGAGCCCTGGTCCAGGAAGATCCCACATGCTGCAGAACAACTAAGCCCGTGCGCCACAACTACTGAGCCTGCACGCCTAGAGCCTGTGCTCCGCAATGAGAAGCCACTGCAATGAGAAGCCCGCGCACTGCAACGAAGAGTAGCCCCCAATCACCGCAACTAGAGAAAGCCCGAGCACAGCAACGAAGACCCAACGCAGCCAAAAATAAATAAATAAATAAATAAAAAGAAAAGCAGTGTGTTATAAAACACGTCTGCCCTCTGCAGTGGTTAAAAATAATAACTGTTCTTGTTACAGCTTCAATGAGAAAGTGAAAGTTTTTGCTGTCCTTACTTTAAACATAAAACCACCCAAAAAAGAAACAATTTAATTTGATTTTAACACATTGGTCATTTTCTGGCTGCTGTATTAGAGACCATATGCCTAACTCAACACAGTTTGTGTAGACAACAAGGCCCAAAGCTCCAAGCCCAGGACGATGATCTGTTTGAATGCCTGAAAGTGACTTTGTCAAAAACATTTGTGTTTTGATAAATAAATAATAAAAAAAACCTTGATAAAAAACCTCATGATAAAAGCGCCTTTTATCATGAATGACCAGCAAGTATAAATAATATGAAGATTATATCAAAAAAAAGCCTCCTGGAAATGTAAGAAGGGAAGTTATGGAGTTTCATCTAGTAAGCTATAACTCATACTTCCCCTGCCTCTCCTTCCTCCAGCACCGAGTGAATGAGGGGTGGAGTGATGTATTGCCCCTTTGTGCACACAAACGATTTATAAGTCCACATGTGCCATTTCAGTACGTTCGCATTATACAAGGGTGAATGAGGCGTTCACCTAATAAATTCCATTATTTCAAGACTTCAATTACAAATAGTCGGAAATGAATGGCCAATAATTCCCTAAATCATTAAAGAAATACCAATTCCAACATTGTCTCTATCCCTGCCTATTCATTTCCAGACTTTATAATCAGTAATCTTATTACAAGACCATGATGAATTTAAAAGGGTCTGCTGTGTAGACTGCATTTCAGAATAGGGAAATCCATTACGTTGAAAGCTCTCCACTTTCTGCCTTAAATACATGGCCAGCGTCTGTTGCTAGTGATTTCAAAATGGCATCTAGGAAACTCAAGTGGCCCCAGCTGAGCTAGGGCTTCCTAAATTGTGATTTAGCAGGGATTTCTGGGAACTCAAGGTTTGTTCACATTTCTCTGGTTTCTCTGCAGGCCTGTTTCCCTGGCAGTCCAGGGGTTAGGACTCTGTGCTCTTACTGCCAAGGGCCGGGGTTCAAGCCCTGGTTGGGGAAGTAAAATCCTACAAGCTGCACGGCCAAAAAGAAAAAAAAATCAGAATAAATGTAAAAAAAAAAAGTATTTGTCTATACTTGAGTCATGAAGAGATTCACCTAGGTTTAAAAAAAAAAACAAAAAACACGAATAATAATGTGATCTAAAGGGCACCAGAAATACTTCTTCATTTTTCCTTCATATTTTTTCCATTTGTCTGAATGGTGACAGGAACTTTAGAGATTACTTTTTAAGGTCATTAAGTGTCACTCCTCTTTTATTAAAATGCAAATAGCTATTAGGAGGATTACTGCCTGAGAAGGCATTATTAGTTAGTACTTAAGTGGAGGATGACTTTCTCAGGGTATGTCCTGTCTTTCACAGTTGGTTGAGAGCAAAATGCCATAGGAATCTTCATGGATAATAATAGTAATAAAACAACTTACCATAACAATGGCTTCTCTATAGAGGTGCCTTCAAACTCCTTTATCAAGACCCTGACTTTGATAACCCACTATGTTACAACCATCCACCAAGGCCATGCCTTCTACCTCTACAAATTCACAAATTCCTCCATTTCCTTCCATTCCAGCTGTCACCAATGTGGCCCAGGCCACCATCATCTCATCCTGAGTGAGCGTAAAGTCCTCTCAATAGGTCACTCTGATTTGAGAGTTATTCTTTCCTCCAATTCATTTCCTGTCCTCAAGTCATCGATCTTTTAAAAGTAAAGTTGGCTGTAACATTCTTATGCATAAAATTCTTAATAGGTTCTCATTTTTCAAATTCCTAAATAAGACTTATAAGGTCCTGCATAGTCTAGCTTCATCCTTTACCCCCGTGGCCTTAACGTACTTAACTTCCTCAAATGAACCATATTCTCTCTGTCCTGAATGGTCTCTCTGTCTCCTCCACTCACTTCTGCTTGGCTAATTCCTCTTCATTCTGGTATTGGCTTTGGCTTCCATTTCCTGCCCTCATGTCCGACCTCCAAATTCAGGTCCATTGCTCCTTATATATTCTATAGCCCTCTGCACTTTGCTGCCCTTGTTATAGCTGTTATCTCTTTGTTTTTTTTAAAATTGGGGTATAGTTGCTTTACAATGTTGTGTTAGTTTCTGCTGTACAACAAAATGAATCAGCTACATGTATACATATATAGCCTCCCTCTTGGACCTCTCCCCCCACCAATTCCCGCCC